AGCCCACACTGTCTTTGAACTCACTAAGTAGCTCAAGCTGTCCTTGAATTCAGGGCCCTATGGCCTCAGCATCCTGAGTGCTAGAATTAAAGGAGGGTGTTACCGCACTTGGTTTCTCATACTCCTTCATTAACTCCATCCTCGGAAAGTTCTGCCCCCACCAACTTCTCTACCTAAATTTCCAGGTTTTGGGGGTGTTTTTACCTTAACAGCCTGGCATTTCCTCTGGCACTGCTTCACCTGTTGTTCCGCTAACACCAATCTGCTTTTTCTGGTCAGGCTCTCCCTCCTGGCCCTCAGCATTGGCTGCTGAGGTTCTGGAGTTATGCAGCGCCTTTAAAGTGTGTTTCATTTTTAATCACTTGGGGGTAAAAACTGCGGAGCAGGCAGGGGAGATCTAGAATGAAGGAAGAATTTGGGCAAACCCTCCTCAATGGGGAAAGTCTAGGAATGAAGGGCCATCCAGATTCTGGGGGAGTATCCTCCATGGGAGAGCGCCAGACTGTGGAGACTCTTGTTTTAATGCCCCAGAGAATTCCTCTAGGTTCCCTACAAATTTCTCCCTTCTGGCTGCCTGAGAGTCTTCCTTCCTTAATTTGTTTGGGTTTTTGTTTGTTCTGTTTAGTTTGGTATTCAGGAGTGAATCCATTTCTTGTGCGTCTGGCAGGTTCTACCAACAGAGCTCCGTCTCTTTATGCTACACCTCACCAACTTCAGCTGGTGTGCAGCTCAAAAGCAGGTGTCATCCATTCACCTTGCAGCTGGCTTGGTTCACCTGCCATTAGATACAGGTGCTGTGCTATTTCATTTGGTTACTTATCAGCTGGTGTGGTCTGTTAGTTAATTGGTGGGCTTCACTATTCAAAATAAGCTAAAGTTAACTTCTTTTAGCAAATTGTTTATAGAATTCATGAAATTATATTCTCATACCTTTCTCCTTTATGCTCCTTTAGCATTGTGTTATGGATTTTTTTGGGTGGTGGTGGTGTAATAGCACTGGCTGTCCTGGAACTCACTTTGTTGACCAGGCTGGCCTTGACCTCACAGAGATCCTATGCCTCTGCCTCTGCCTCCTGAGTGTTGGGACTAAAGGCAGGCGCCACTACCACCGGGTGTGTTTAGGATTGTTGGTATAGCACGTATCACCTAGATCAGTGGTTTTTGACCTGTGGTCATGACCCCTTTGAGGGTCACATATTAGATATCCTGAATATCAGATATCTACATTACAATTCATAATAGTAGCAAAATTAGTTATGTAGTAGGAACAGAATAATGGTGGGGGTCACCACGACACAAGGGGCTGTATTAAAGAATTGCAGCCTTAGGAAAGTTGAGAGCAGACTTAGAATTAGCTATCAAATGAGGGACTCAGGTTCTTGCTGGCTTTGTATGATTTCCCAGTAGTTAATACCATGTCTTGCATCTTCCAAGCACTCCACAGTAAAGCCTTGGCGTGTTATGATATCCTGAGTCTATGAGAAATCTTTGGATCAGTGACTGTCACAGTAATTGAGGCGTAAATATGGAATGGTTGTTCAGCTAAGAGATTTGCACCTAAACAAAATCCTGTCTGTATTAGTCTAAATTCTGCCAGGGGCATCTTGTATGCGCATGTTCTTCCACTCAGCGGCAGCTCTCTGAAGTAAGCTATAAATTATTATTCATTGGCTTTCGGGTGGATTGACCAATGTGTGACAAAGGCCAAGGCCTTTTGAGCAGGTTTAGATGGCAGACAGATGGGTGACCAGGAGAGCAAGCAGTGTGTTTCCTAAGGTCTGTGCATTCTCATTCAGAGCACAAACGTGACCCAGCGAGTTCAGCAGATGACACTGGGAACCAAAGAAGGTGAAGCAAGATGCAGCAGCACAGTTCACTTTCCCTTCATCATTGTTTAGCCCTTCCTTCTCTCAGGGAAAAAACAAAAGAGAAACACTTGACTTGGAGAGTGCAGAAGACTCTTGATCTCGATAGCAATCGGCTGTACTTAATTCTTTCATTCTTCTTTACCAGGTGATGGCTGTGGGCACATAGTGACCTCTCAGGACAGCGGCACGATGACATCTAAGAATTACCCGGGGACTTATCCCAATCATACTGTGTGTGAAAGGACCATCATGGTCCCGAAGGGGAAGAGACTCATTCTGAGGTTGGGAGATTTGAACATCGAGTCCAAGACCTGCACTTCCGACTACCTTCTCTTCACCAGCCCCACAGATCAGTACGGTAAGGAAAGAGGGGTGGGGCTCTGTAAGCCTGGAAAAACTGAGGTGAGAGAAAGGCAAGCAGTGTGTTGGTGAGCAGCACAGACAGCCTGCAAGAGGGGAGACGAAACTCGCTCTGTAAACTCTGCAGGGTGACGTAGATCCTCCTGCTTCATAAACTGAGGCGGTGAAGGAGATACTAAACGTCTGCCGCGTGTATCTCGAAGATTAGCTCAAATCTCTGTCTTGCTGGAAACAGAATCAGAAATGTGGCATTTGGCTAACACATACCTTCATTATTTGGCCAACGCTTATTGAATAGTGGCTGTGACTCGGACGTTCTATGAGGAACTGGGTTATTATATTCAGTGAACAAACAACATTCCTCTCATGGAGAGTCTCCCTGGGGAGAAGACAACTGTGTTTATAACATGACAGGTGGTGAGGAAGAAAGAGATGGAATCCTACACAGCCTGTTTTATGGTCATGTCAGTGGGGTGGTCAGGCAGGTCCTTCCAATATGGGGAACATGAGTGCAGAGGTGGGTGAAGTGAAGGGATGGATTTGTGGGTAAGACAGAAGTCAGTTTTCAGGAGAAAGGACAACAGTGCAAAGGGAATTTCCCTATCTAATAACCTTTGAAATTCAGTTTCTTGTGCTATGGGTACTCTGTTTATGCCTGTGATGCTAATTGTCTTGCTGGTTAGTACCTGGCTAACTCGACAGAATATAGAATCACCTTGGTGACAAGTTTCTGGGCATGAAAATTCCTTGAGGTGGGAAGACTCACCCAAACTACATACTGACTAAAAAGAGAAAGCAAGCCGGAGCATTTGTTACTGTCTGCTTCTGGACTGTGGATGTCATGTGACCAGCTGCCTCATGCAAGCACCTGCTGCCCAACTTCCCTTGAACTGTGAGCCAAAAAACCCTTTCACCTGCTGCCCAACTTCCCTTGAAATGTGAGCCAAAAAAACCCTTTCTCCTCTAAGTTGCTCTTGTCAGGAAAGTACTATCATTATCATGATGGCCTTTTGACCCTAAGCCCTAGATAGCTTGGAGTTAGACCATTGGAAACCAAAGACAAAACTCTTGACCAAAGACCAAAGACCAAATCTTGTCATCTACATTTTTAGATTCTTTTTTTTTTTTT